TTTTTTTGTCCTTTCCCTATTATTTCCCTTTCCTATTATTTTTTTACTCCCTTCCAACCACCTCCCAGCTGTTGGACTTTTTCTCCCGACACTTGAGTCTCTCTGAGTCTCAAGAAAACTCCTCTTCAGCCCAAACCACGGGTAACCCCAACCTGTAAATCCAGCTTGGAGAATTTTCCTTCATCCATCTGGCTGTCTCCCAGAGCATGTGTGTATGTATGTATATAGGAACCTCTTAACTGGGCACTAATTAACTGGGAGGCTGCTCCCCCCCTCTCCAACTGGGACACTCTGCCCATCCCACTGCTGGTATGGGTGTGGTGGGACCCTGAAAGGCAAAGAAAATGGGTTTTGCGCTGGGTGACCCCATGTTGTCACTCAGTTGAGGTGTCACAAGGGGGGATGGAGGAGCAGGGAAGGGGTTGGGGACACTTGTCACTGTGGCCGAGCCCCTGTGGGGCCCTGGCCCAGTGGGGACGATGCCATATCAAGTGAATTTTCTGTCTTGTTGGAGCTTTTCTCAGCTGTCTTCCAAGTATTATTTTTATTGTTTAAAAAAAAAGAAAAGGAGAAAAAAAAAAAGGAAAAACCATGAAATGTTGATTTTTACAGCAGCAATATGAAATATATTTTATAAGAAATAAAAAGAAAAGTTGCCTGGTAGCTTGCTGGCTCTGCCTTGTCCTTGTCACAGACATGCCCCTCTGAGTCCCAGGGACCTCCCCTGTACCCCATGGTCCCCTCTCTGGAGGTGGGGACACCTTCTGCCACCTCTTGACCCAGAGATGTTCTGCAGATGTTTTATCCCTGTTGCAGCTTGGGGAACTCCTTGGCACAGCCATTTCTGGCACCACTAGATAGCACTGTCTGCCTGGCCATGGCAGTGCTGGTCCCTCCCCTTTTTCTGTCGTATTTTCAAAAAAGCCACGCCAAATTCATCAAGTTTTTAATCTGGAAGTTGCAATTCGTATGACCTGGCTATGACCTGTCGTGCAGAGGAACTCTGGGACCTCCATTCCCAACTCACCACTGGCAAAACAAACCCTCCCACCTGCCAGAGTCTTCCCCCAGTTAATTTTTTAATTACCAACCTTTTTTTTCTTTCTGGTTAGCAAAAAAAAAAAAAAGCAGAAGTTACTTCCCTGAGCCCAGTCTTAACCCAGTTTGCAAACTGGGATCAAACTGGGGACACTGGTGGCATGGCCACAGCACAGCCCTGCCCCTCCATGGCGCCGTTTCTATGGCAACGCTG